TCTGTGAAATGACACTGAATCTTACTCTTGGCCACCCACAGAAATGTAAAGAATTAGCTCACTTTATGTATGAAAATCACATAAAGCCATACTCACATGGACAGACACTGGTGGGGGAAGGGTCATTTTCATCTGGCAGGAAATGGAACAAAAACCCAGAAATTTTCTTCCTATTAATAAATATCTTGTAAATGTTCTTATATAAATATACACCATACATGAGCCTATGAAAATAAAATATTTCTTTATGTCCACATATTATAGGTTTAGAAATAAATATAAACTTCAGGAAAACTCAACAGGAGATAATTATAAGAGAATACAAACAACATAACTACTAGGAAGACAAGCCTGGGATCAGGATTACCAGGTGACCAATCCCAGGGGAAAATAACATGAAGGTGAATTGGGATATAGAGTCAGCTATATAGATTCATCCAATTAGCCAAATGCCTGGGCAGCTAGGTGTCTGAGAAGTAGTGGAATTGAACATGATATTTTATGGTGGCTTAAGAAAATTTCCTAACAAGTCAACAGAGAAATGATGAAGAGTAGGGGACTATTTGCTGACATGTTATTTCCTGTTTCCTGCCTTTCTCCTACCTGCCTATTTGTCTCCAACTAAAATTTCATTAATCACCAATTGTCAGCATCTGCAGAATAACAAACTTTTTTTTAGTTTTTTTTTTTTTTTTACATATTCTAATCTTGCTTGCACATGAGTAGAATTTTTCAGATAAATGTATATTTGTGTGTATGCATGTGTGCATACACATTTGCTGTCCTGTGTGTGGGTTAAGGGTGTGAGTGAGGATAGAGACACAATAACATTCCAAGTTTCCAGGTAGAACGATGTCCAAAGACCCAGAGACATAAACATCTCAAGCAGTTTGGGGATCTGTGAGAAGCTCAGTGTTGCAGGGGTTCAGTGTGTGCAGTGGTGATTTGGGGTTGAGAGACAATGCTGAAAAGTAGGTTGGGGCCCATTTACATTTCATGTTGTGGGCTGAAAATAGAGTTGGTAAAGCTTTTAGAGCAAGAAAACACTATTTATAGAAAAATTACCCTGGCAACAATGTTCAGGCAAGACAGACTGGGCATTGGGATGGAAAGAATAGCAGTGAAGATGCAGAGGAGAAGCCTGATTTGAGACAGGAGCCTGAGAAGATTTGGCACTAGATTAGTGAGGGAGGTAAGGAAGAGGGAGTGGCAAGGTTTCTTACTAAGATCAAGAATACAGGTAAGAGTGAATCTCTTGTACTTTGAAACAGAACAGCAAGTTGGGGCTATCCAGTATGCAGTTACAAATATGTTCCTGGGGCTCAGGAGAGAGGTCTAGATTAGGCTGTTTTGTGAGCCATGATAACATAGATGAAAACTGCAGCCACAGTGTGAATGAAATTGAGAGAGGAGAGCGAAAAGCAGGAAGATAGGAAAGATGAGGGTAGGTCTGAAGATTAGAGGTCTTACAGGTAAAATAGAGGAAGAGAAGCCCGTGTAAGGAATAGAAAAGGAATAGTCTGAGAGGTGGCAGAAATACTAGTGGAGGGTAGTGCCATGGAGACCAAGAAAAAAGACAGTATTGAGAAGTTGGGGTGTCTAACACTTCCAGATTCTGTATCCAGCATTTAGAGGATGCATTGCTTTCTTAAGCACACATGATCATATAAGGCATGAAGCAAATCTAAACAAAAATTAAAGAATAGGTATTATGTAGAACATGTTCCTTGAGGACAATGCAATTGAGTTAGAAGTTAATAACAGGCTGGGCATGGTGGCTTGTGCCTGTAATCCCAGCACTTTGGGAGGCCGAGGCAGGTGGATCATCTTAGGCCAGGAGTTTGAGAACAGCCTCACCAACATGGTGAATCCCTGTCTCTACTAAAAATACAAAAAATTAGCTGGGTGTGGTGGTGCGCACGTTTAGTCCCAGCTACTGGGGAGGCTGAGGCAGGAGAATTGTGGAGTGAGACTCTGTCTCAAAAAAAAAAAAAAAGAGTTAATAACAAAAAGATAATTTTTAAAATTTTACATACTTTGGAATTAAAAAATGACTCACAAATCAAAGAAAAAATCAAAACTTAAAAAAACACTTAGAACTAAATGATAAAGAAAATACTATACATCAATACTTAAGGTATACAATGAAAGTGTTTCTTTGGGGGAAAATTTATAGCCTTACATGCTTACTTAAGAAATGAATAGAAGGCCGGGCATGGTGGCTCACACCTGTAATCCTAGCACTTTGGAAGGCCAAAGGGAGGGGTGGGGGCAGATCACTTGAGGTCAGGAGTTCGAAACCAGCCTGGCCAACATGGTGAAACCCTGTTTCTACTAAAAATACAAAAAAAATTGGCCAGGCTTGGTGGTGGGCACCTGTAACCCAGCTACTTGGGAGGCTGAGGTAGGAGAATTGCTTGAACTCTGGAGCTTGCAGTGAGCCGAGATCGCACCACTGCACTGCACTCCAGCCTGGACAACAGAGGGAGACTCTGTCAAAAAATAGAAAGAAAGAAAGAAAGAAAGAGAGAGAGAGAGAGAAGAAAAGAAAGGAATAGAAGCTGAAGATTAATTGATTAATGTTCATCTCAATAAATTAGAACAACAGAATAAAGCCAAAGGAAATAGAATAAAAATATGAACAAAAAATGAACAGAAATAAGTGAAACAGAAAAAATACAATAGAATTAATTAATCAAGATAAAAGTTCATTCTTTAAAAATACAATCAAATTGGATAAATCTTTGGTGACATTCATCATGAAAAAAAAGAAGAAATATAATTAAAAAGGGAGACATGGGTTTAGATGTAGCCCAGATTAAAAGGAGAATATGAGAATACATTGAGCTATTTTAATTACTGATAAGGTCCCAGAATTACTACTTTCTTCCCTGCATTTTTCTTCAGGAAACTGTCTAATCCTCTACCCACAGATCCTTAACAGTAAAGCAAGAACTACCAGCGGATTTCCAATACATTGCCACAGTCACCTCCTTTTCAGGGTTTGCTGGGATTGTTACTTCAGATACAGCAATTTGACTTTGAGCCCCTACCTGCTGTATTGAGTTGGCAGTCAAGCATCTTCCTTGGGATGCTTCTCTTTGCTCTGCTCCAGAATTAACCAAGCATCTCAGGGACATACACACCCCAAAGAGTGTGGGAGTTATTAAATATTTTCTAATGACATACTGGAGTATGATGATCTAGTTTGCCTTTGTTATTGCTTTTTGACGCCTTGATGGAGTCTTACTTAAAGTTAGCACTGTGTAATCTCATGGGCCCTTGACAACTATCCTGCAACGAGAGGAAAATCCACAAAGGTTCTTTGAGGGAAGATGATTCTGTTTGGACTAAGCTTAGTTGTACTCTATGTTTAGGATTCTAGGGTTAAAGCTTTGTGATTAGATTTTTTTGGTTTATGATTACAGCCACTTCCTAAGGTGAACAGCTGCTTTCAGAATTACTGCCATAGGTCAGGTTTTGGCATTTGCCTTAAGGGGTTGTGTAGCTTTTCTTGTAACACTTAAATCACAAAAAAATTGGTACCATACCTCTCCCTAGACCACTGGGGCCAATCTCAGAGTTTCCAAGGTAACTTTTCAGAGATAATTCCTCAGTATTTCTAAGGCAATTTTCTGCTCTGCTTTGTATAATGAAGTAGCTGGACTTTTCCTCACTAAATAAGAAGAAAAAACACCCCACACATTTGTCATTTGCTAAAATAGTTTCTTGATAGGACACCAAACAAAATACAACCATGTTGTTTTTATTTAGAATATTAGTATAAATAAAGTCATGCATTTGGCATTATTCTAACATCAGGGGAGATTTTAAGAATTTTCTTATAACTTCCCATAAATAAATTTCTATTAGCAATTTCATATTTCATTTATTATTGAATTAATGAAGTTTATTATTTATCTGAGGGCCATCATATCATCCATTCATTTATACATGAATTTGTTCATTCAACAAATATTTATTGAACACCTACTATATCAAAAACACCCTGCCAGAGACTAAGTAAGTAACACCAGGCAAACACAGACATGACCATGTCCTCACAGAGTTTACAGTCTAGAAATTTTTTTTAGAAAAGTTTCTGAATTCAGGACATGCAATTATAGAGGTATTCCTATAGGACACACATTTCTATAGGTACAGAATGGGATGACATGACATGTGTAAGTTTAGAATATTGGAGAGAATGTTAGAGAAAGAAAAACGTAGTAATGAGGATCATGGTGTCAGATATTTAAAGAGAGCATGTGTGAAGAAAAGCTGTTTTTTTAGATGGTGATCTTATAGAGGAAGATGAGTGCCACACATTATCAATTATCCATGGGCATCATTTCATCTTTAACCAATCAGAAATCATTCCCACTTCCTTACTAAAGATCTTGGTTTTTTCTCTTTTACTTGCATTCTCACACTTAAGTATTAAATTATCTAAGTTTCCAAATCATAAAGCCTCAAAATATCATACTGTATATAGGGGAGGCAGGTACACATTTTAATATATCCTACAGAAAAGAGATTACACCGGTATTACTGATTTTATGGAGGAGACAGTACATAGCAATTTTGAGTGCATGCATGTGTTTTAACACAATAAAATCTTATTTCTTGCTTTGATTCCAGTTTAGGTCAGCAAGGTGGCTCAGCACCTGTGGTCAGTCATGCAGAGACCCCACCCCCCCAACTCCCTATCACCACCACTTTCAATCCATGACCTTAGGTTTTCTGGCATCTAGCTGGTGAATACAGAGAGAGAAGGTGAAGATGGAACCAGTGTTTTTCGCTATCTTGGTCTGGAGGTAACACTTATCACTTCCATTCACAGTCCCTTGATGAGAACTGGCTACGTAGCTCCATCCAGGTGCAACAGTGGTGGAAAATATAGCTTAGCTGTATACCCAAGTAGCTAATACGTTTGGTGAGAAGCTAGCTCATCTGCTTCAGTCAGTCTCCTCATTTAAAAATGGGAGTAATACTTTCTAACTCGGCTGCGGCCATGGCTCCTGTGAAAAAGCTTGTGGCGAAGGGGGCAAAAAAAAGAAGCAGGTTCTGAAGTTCACTCTTGATTGCACCCACCCTGTAGAAGATGGAATCATGGATGTTGCCAATTTTGAGCAGTTTTTGCAAGAAAGGATCAAAGTAAATGGAAAAGCTGGGAACCTTGGTGGAGGGGTGGTGACCATCAAAAGGAGCAAGAACAAGATCACCGTGACATCTGAGGTGCTTTCTCCAAAAGGCATTTGAAATATCTCACCAAAAAACATTTGAAGAAGAATAATCTACGTGACTGGTTGCGCGTGGTTGCTAACAGCAAAGAGAGTTATGAATTACGTTACTTCCAGATTAACCAGGACGAAGAAGAGGAGGAAGATGAGGATTACATTTCATTTATCCAGAATATTTTGTATGAGTTCTTGAATAAAACTTGGGAACAAAAAAAAAAAAAAATTGGGAGTAATAGCTTCTGCCTCATAAAATTGTTTCAAGGGAACAACTAGATAGTTCATCAAAGTGCTTAGCACGGTGCCTCATCCATAGTAAGTGGCTCAATAAGCACAACAAATACTTTTGACATCCATAAACAAATTTCCAGTCAGAACTAATACCTTCATGGCATTCTACTCTTTCAAATCTTTTAATAGCTTCGTATGTTCTTTGAATAAAAAATAAATTATTGACCAGGCTCTCTATCATCTGGTCCCTGCCTTCATTCCCAGTCTCTTTTCCCACCATTCATCCTTCACTCGTACAACCTGGCTTACACCGGCCTTTCTATGGTTCTCAGACCAACCCCTTTCCCACTGTAGGGTCCATGGTCCCCTCTGCCTGAAATGCGTGTGCCCCAGCTCTTCACATGAGTGATTTGCTTTCATCATCCAGGTCTCATCTCAGGTATCACTTCCTCAGAGAGTCCTGTTCTGTCTGTCCTATCCAAAGTGGCTTCCTCACTATCTTGTCTTCTCTTGTTTTTGTTACCACAATCTGTAACACTTTTTAACTTATATTTCATTATTAATTGAAACAATTAATATATAATAAATAGAGATGGGATCTCGCTATGTTGACCAGGCTGGTCTCCAGCTCCTGGGCTCAAGCGATCCTCCCATCTTGGCCTCCCAAAGTGCTAGGATTACAGGGGTGAGGCTGTAATGCTCTTCTTTATTTGTTTACTTGTTCATGGTCTTTATTTTCCACCAGAACTGTTGGCTCCTTGAAGCCAGGGACTTTGTCTGTTTACTGCTTTATCCTCTGCAATGAGAGCTGCAATGAGGTGTTAAATACCTGATGATTGACTGATGAATAGGTGAACAATTTTAAGATAAACTGGAGGTATTCTCTTTGAGTCTTTCACATTACCTATCAACATATTCACATTTCCCTATGATTATTTCCATATCCCCTTCTACGTAGGGTTCTAGCTCTAGCCTTCCTTCTCAGCCAAGCTTCTTGAAAGCACAGTTTACACACCATGCCACCTCCTTTTACTGCTGAACATATCTTCCTCTGGCTTCTTCCCCTTCCTACCATTCCACAGAAATTATTCTTGTTATGGGCATCCAATTTACCAAATCCAAGGCCTGCTTCTTGGCCATTACCTTACCTCGCTTGTTTTCTTGATGCTGTTGAGTATACCTTCTTCCTGAAACTTTTCTGCTTTGACTTCATATTCCCATAGATACCAGTGTATAGCAGTGGTTTTCAACCAGGGATAGTTTTGCTGGAGAGGTGGGGGGAGCTATTGGCATCTAGTTTGTAGAAGCCAGAAATGCTATTAAACATCCATCCATCTTCAGCAAAGAATGATCTGGCCCAAAATAGCCATAGCGCAAAGCCTAAGAAAACCTGGTTAACAGGATGTCCTACAGATACTTCATGAACAACATGGTCTTGTTCAGAAATAAATCACTACCTCTTTTCTCACCTACTAATTTGTTACTTGTTATTCCTAATCTGATTAATGATATTTATCTTATAAACTAGTATCTCTAATATCATTTTCAATTCCTCCCTCTCCCTCATCAGGCCCATTTATTAGTCACTAATTCCCTTTTGATTCTGTCACCTAAATATCTTTAATCCTGTCTTTCTCTTCAGCTACCACTCTTTGTATTAGTATAGACATTATTTAGCTTGCAAGAATCTCCTAAATGCACTCCCTGCTTTGAGTCTTACAAACACCTCCAACTCATTCTCCTCAAGTAATCTTTCTTTCTTTCTTTTTTTTTTTTTTGCATTTTCTTTTTTTTATTTTATTATACTTTAAGTTCCAGGGTACATGTGCACAACGTGCAGGTTTGTTACATATGTATACATGTGCCATGTTGGTGTGCTGCAACCATTAACTCGTCATTTACATTAGGTATATCTCCTAATCTGTCCCTCCCGCCCCCCCCCCACCACAATAGGACCCGGTGTGTGATGTTCCCCTTCCTGTGTCCAAGTAATCTCATTGTTCAATTCCCACCTATGAGTGAGAACATGCTGTATTTGGTTTTCTGTTCTTGCAACAGTTTGCTGAGAATGATGGTTTTCAGCTGTATCCATGTCCCTACAAAGGACACGAACTCATCCTTTTTTATGGCTGCATAGTATTCCATGGTGTATATGTGCCACATTTTCTTAATCCAGTCTGTCACTGATGGACATTTGGGTTGATTCCAAGTCTTTGCTATTGTAAATAGTGCCACAATAAACATACATGTGCATGTGTCTTTATAGCAGCATGACTTATAATCCTTTGGGTATATACCCAGCAATGGGATGGCTAGGTCAAATGATATTTCTAGTTCTAGATGCTTGAGGAATCCCCACACCGTTTTCCACAATGGTTGAACTAGTTTACAGTCCCACCAACAGTGCAAAATGTAAAAGTGTTCCTATTTCTCCACATCTTTTTTTCTCCACTTTTTTTTTTGACGGAATCTCGCTCTGTCACCCAGGCTGGAGTGCAGTGGCCCAATCTCAGCTCACTGCAAGCTCCGCCTCCCAGGTTCACACCATTCTCCTGTCTCAACCTCCTGAGTAGCTGGGACTACAGGCGCCGTCACCACGCCCGGCTAATATTTGTATTTTTAGTATTGACGAGGTTTCACCTTATTAGCCCGGATGGTCTCGATCTCCTGACCTCGTGATCCGACCGCCTCAGCCTCCCAAAGTGCTGGGATTACAGGCGTGAGCCACTGTGCCCGGCCCTCCTCAAGTAGTCTTTCTAAAATGGAAGCTTGATAACATTTCTCCCATTGCCTACAAGAAAAAGTTGAGCTTCCAGGTCTCATTTACCATACATACCATGTGTTTTATTGTCTACAGATCTGCATTCTGTCACTATTCTTCCTAATCTCCTTCTAGCCTAATCAAAACACAAGGAAACAAAAAACTAGAAAAACAAAAAGCTTTATGTATCACACTTTTTATTGGACACGATACTCCTCCTTTTTGCAATGTCCTCCCACTAGGCTCCCAAACAGGCCCTCCTGAAAATTTCCTTCCTAAAAAATTCTCTCTCAAAACTCTACTCTGTGCATGCACATACTTCTGTTGGGACACCTATTTTATACATACTATCTCAGGCAGAAAATTCCCAAACTGAAATGTACAGGCAATGTACTTTTATTCTACGGAGTTTTAAAAATTTTGAATTCCCTGTCTATGAGGTTCAAAATCCCAATTAAATTTATGGTCTTCCCCTCTTGCTCCTGGGTTGTGGTTAAATTCTTGCGGAGTCTTCACAGTGCCTAAGTTTTGGAGAAGATGTAGGCACCCGCCCACATCCCTCCTTCAGATTTTGGCATCCTCTTCCTAGTATCTGCGTGTTGTTTTCGTATTTCTGTATCATTTTGCTTTTACAGAGCCACACTGAAGCTTGAGAATCTGAGGCTTTCTGTGGCTTCCCCATACACAGAATCATTCCCTCTTTGGAGTCCTGCTACCTACTCCAGACTACTTGGAATGCAGACATTCGCTCATTACTGTGGGACCCAGGAGTATTCCCTTTCTCTTAATCTTATTAATATTTCACTTCAGAAGCATTTCCTGTGCTGTGAAATTTTTCTCAGAGGCTTAATTGGTTTAGAGTTTTAATGGATTTGGTCACAGAAAAGCCAATGACTCCCAAATTCTTAAGTCCTGTCCCATCCCAATACCTGAGGCAGGGAGAAAAACATAAATGACCATCGTTCCTAAATCTGATAGCTCAGTGGATACACCCGAGGAGCTTTTAAAATTAAGAGACGCTCCCAAGCGTAACTGTACAGCATCAGAATTTGTTTTCCTGACGATCACAGACGATCAAGACAGAATTATTCCATCAGTGGTGGGCGTGGGGCGGGACTCCACTCGGCCTTCCTGTCCTCTAAAGTCTTCTAATTTTTTCCCCAGTAATCTGTCCTCCCATTCTCCTTTTTTGGCCCATCCCTCTCCTCCCAGTCTTTCCCTGCTGCCCTGCACCAACCTTTCTGCGTCCCGTCCCCC